CAGGAAATAGAAAGGGACAGGAAACCCAGAGACTTTCCCTCGGACATTGCCAGTGCCTGTTCCTAGAGTTCTGTGCCTCTGCTTAGGGAGCGGAGGTGGAGACGGGGGAACTGGGAAAAAGGTGTGGGTGGGAGGGGTAGGTGGGCGTTGTAAGCCAGTGACACCAGGATTTGGGGTGACATGAGGTAACAGTGGAATGTGCAGAGGCTGTTGAGTGTGTGGCTGTGTGGAAAGGACAGGGAGGATGGTGGTGGAGCTGGAAGGAGGGCAGGTGACCTGCTGTGGTGTGGCCATGCCTGGAGTCCGCGCTGGAGTTCTCAGGTGGTGAAAGCGTTCCCAGTGTGAGTGCTTTCTATCCGCAGGCTGCAGACCTCCCACTGCTGAGCCACTGGTGGTTTCATGATAAATTTTGCTTTCGTTCTCCCAGAGTTAGGAATTCTGTTTGCTTCCCTGAACCTCCTGGTCTTCCCCAGTCCAGGGTTGTCTCCCCAGAGACCTGGAGCTGGGAGCCGTGCGCTTTCCTGGGAACTGTTGCCTGCTTCTGCTCCTCTGCTTTATGGAAAGGAAGTCAGAGGTGGGAACGGGAGGGCTCCTTTCCAAAGAGGCTGATCTGAGAGTGAAGATCATTGGCTATTTCCTCTGGCTGAGTGTAATTCACTTAATATGCGGTGTGGCTCATTTTTCCCTTTGGAAAAAGGAGAGATGGTGCCTGACTCACCCCTTCATGAAGTACTGTGTGAAATGCACAGCCCCTCTCTCCAAGGAGAGCTCTGCACAGGCAAATTCTGATTGAGTCATTGTTCCCACTCCCATCCCACAGACACCAGGTCCACTCCCTTCCTTTCTTCTGGGTGCGAGGGTGGGGCTCACCCCACAATGATGGGAAGGAGGTCCTTGAGCCCCTGCCTTAGGGGCCTCTGTGGTGCATAGACTGTGAGAGTCAGGAGAAAAGCCTGAGGCCAGGCATGGTGGCTCATGCCTGTAATCTCAACACTCTGGGATTACAGGCGTGAGCCACCCCACCCTCAGAGGCTTGGAATCCACCTGAGGTGGGTGTATCACCTGAGGTCAGGAGTTTGAGACCAGCCTGAACAACATGGAGAAACCTCTGTACTAAAAATACAAAATTAGCTGGGCATGGTGGCACCATGCTACTTAGGAGGCTGAGGCAGGAGAATCGCTTGAACCCAGGGGGCAGGGATTGCATGAGCCAAGATCGCACCATTGCACTCCAGCTTGGGCAACAAGAGCTAAAAAAAAAAGGTGGGGGAGAGAAAAGCCTCGGGAGGAGGAATACTGAGCTGGGCTGTGAGGGGCATGTTGATTTGGAACCCAAGGTTGGTAGGGGAGGGGCCGCAGTGGCTTGTGAACAGAGGTCTGTGGGATGAACATAGATGGGATAGTGGAGAACCTTGAACTGGAGAATTATGTGCAACCAGAAGAAAGAAGCCTGGAGGGTAATTTGGGATCTGAAAGTGGGGAGTAAAAGTCATATGAGACAGCTCTGATCTTGTAGACAGTGGGGAGCCATTGAAAGCTTTGGAGCAGGCAGGTGACCTGAGCTGAGCTACCCTTCAGGAAGATGATTCTGGCAGCGAACTGTGACAGCTGTGAGCAGCAGAGTGTGCAAGGACCTGCCTGAAGTGGCGGGATACAGGTAACTGACCTGAGCCACCTAAGCAGGTGTAGGAGAGACAGGGCTTCATTCAACCAGCATAGATGGAGGGCCTGCTGCTGCTTAGTGTATTAGAAGGTACAAAATGGAAAAATCTGGGTTGTTGTCCGTGAGGAACGTCCCATGTGAGTGTAAAGATTTCAGCACACTCCCCGTAAACTGACGAGAGATGATTTCAAATGACCCATGAGAAGGTGAAGGAAGAGAAGAGGCGGCCACATGTGGCATTGTGATGGTGGAGTTTGGAGGAGCCCTGACCAAGCAGCTGTTTCATTAGGGCACGGGGTCAGGTGCCCTGATCCTCTCCCCAACCCTGGGGAGATTTCAGAGAGACTAGGGTGCTTTGTCAGGGACACACAGGCCTTGGCAGGTGGGGCTGGTGTTCAGCTTCTGCTCTGTCCAGTTTCAGAGTCTTGGCTCTTTATGCCAAGGGCAGGGGGCTTTGAACCAGGCTTTAAAGTTAGTGGTAGCAATGGAGGTGGGGGGCACATTTTATAAGAAGTCCCAGAGAGAGAGAGAGAGAGAGAGAGAGAGAGAGAGAGAGAGAGAGAGAGAGAGAAAGAGAAAGAGAGAAAGAGAGAGGGAGAGAGAGACAGAAGAGGGAGGAGGAGGAGGAGGAAGAAAGGAGGAAGAGTAAAAGCAGGAGGAGGGTCTGGCTGGCTTAGAGAACAGGAATGGCAATTAGGAAAAATGGGGAGCAGGTATGGTAGGCAAGAGGGATATGGTTGAGAGAAGGTAGGTGGCTCTTCTCTTTCTTCCTCTGATCTACCGTGATGTCATTTTGCAAAAACATGATGAGACTTCTGCTTCCAGTCAAGAGTAAACAGGACAACCTGGAATTATTCTCCCACCATGAACAACTAGGAACTAGATAAAATATGGGGAAAATCTGTGCCTGTTGTGGGGGATCAGGCAATGGTGGACTGTGATTCTTTGGAAAAAGACTAACCGAGTGAGAACTATCATTACCTAGGCTTTCTACCTGAAGATGATTCTGCCACAGGGAGGGAGAACCCAGAGACTGGCGAGATTACTAAATGGAGGGGACAGAGATCAGAATTTGGAGACACCAAGTTCTATGGTTTCTAGAATTTGTGGGACAGAATCCCAAAAGGAAGAAGCTGCAAAGAGAAAGATCTCCAGAAATCTCAATAGAGGGCCCCTGGAATCTTTGGTTGAATATCAATCTGCTCATGCACAATGCAACCCTCTAGACCAGAAGAGAACAACTGCAGAGGGAGCTGTAAGACAAACAGGATAGAGCCAATGCAGGACCAGGGTTCACTGGAGTCATCTTTAAAAGAATATGACAAAATTCTGCATTGAAAAATGGTAGACATCCAGCAAAAAAAAAAATTACTAACCAAAAAGGAAATGTGACTGACCCAACAAACAAACAAACAAAAAAGGTCAGTAGAAGTAGATCTAGCAATGACGGAGATGTGATGGAATTAGCAGGAAAAGGACATGAAAATAACCTTTTTTTTTTTTTTTTTGCAATGGAGTCTTGTTCTGTCTTCCAGGCTGGAGTACAGTGGCGAAATCTCAGTTCACTGCAACTTCTGCCTCTTGGGTTCAAGTGTCTCCTGCCTCAGCCTCCTGAGTAGCTGGGATTACAGGTGCACACCACCATGCCTGGCTAATTTTTGTATTTTTTAGTTGAGATGGGGTTTCACCATTTTGACCAGGCGAACTCCTGACCTTGTGATCTGCCTGCCTTGGCCTCCCAAGGTGCTGGGATTACAAGCTTGAGCCACCGCGCCTGGCCCAAAAAGAACTTAAATGGACACATCAGGATGATGATGAGAGAAATGGAAAGTATAAAAACATCCAGTAGCACCTCTACAGATGAAAAATCAAAATATCAATCACAAAATCAAAGATGAAAAGCTAAATAGATAGTTTTAATAGTAGACTAGACAGTGCAGAAGAAATGACCAGTGAATTGAAGCCAGAGCAATAAAGCTATCTAAAATTAAGCACACAAAGAAAAAACATTCCACTCTGGGCAATGTGGTGAAACCCTGTCTCTATGAAAAATTAAAAAATTAGCCAGCAGTGGTGGTATGTGCCTATGGTCCCAGCTCAGGAGGCTGAGGTGGTAGTATCACATGAGCTCAGGAGGCTGAGGTGGTAGTATCACATGAGCTCAGGAGGCTGAGGTGGTAGTATCACATGAGCTCAGGAGGCTGAGGTGGTAGTATCACATGAGCTCAGGAGGCTGAGGTGGTAGTATCACATGAGCTCAGGAGGCTGAGGTGGTAGTATCACATGAGCTCAGGAGGCTGAGGTGGTAGTATCACATGAGCTCAGGAGGCTGAGGTGGTAGTATCACATGAGCTCAGGAGGCTGAGGTGGTAGTATCACATGAGCTCAGGAGGCTGAGGTGGTAGTATCACATGAGCTCAGGAGGCTGAGGTGGTAGTATCACATGAGCTCAGGAGGCACAGGTTGCATTGAGCCAAGATTGCATCACTGCACTCTAGCCTGGGCAACAGAATGAGACCTTGTCTCAAAAAAAAAAACCAGAAAAGAAAAAGCATGGACAAAAGATAATACACAGAGCATCCTTGGCACATGGGACAATATAACATATCCTAATATGTTTAATTGGAGTCTCAAAAGAACAGAGAGGGAGACAGAAAATTTGAAGAAATAATGGTGGGAAAATGTCCTAATTTGATGAAAACTCTAAACCCATAATTCAAGAAGCTCAACAAAATCCAAACAAATATAAGGCATAAAAATAAGGAGAATCACACCAAGGCACATAGTAATCAGATTGCTTAATAAAGATACATTCATAAAAGCAAGCAGAAAAAAATGGGAAAAAAAGACACACATAGAGAGTAACAAAGATAAGAATGACAGTAGATTTCTGGTCAGAAATTATTCAAGGCAGAGGACACTAGAACTGAAAAAGAAAGTGGGCTAATCTAGAATTCTGTACCCAACAAAAATATCCTTAAAAAAATGAAGGTGAAATAAACACTTTTTGATGGACAAACTAAAGTTGAAGAATTTATAACCATTGGGCATGTAGTACAAAAAATGTTAAAGCAACTTTTTTAGGCAGAAGAAAAATGATACTAGATAGAAATTTGGGCTGCACAAAGGAGTGAAAAGGCCTCTAAATGGTAAATATGTGGAAACACGTGAAAGTTATCTTTTCTCATTTTTAATCTCTTTGAGAAACTGTTTAAAGCAAAAATATAAATAAGGCACTTTGGCATTTATAACATACATAGAAGCAAGATGTATGACAAAAATAGCACAAAGGACAGGAGGGGAGAAATGACAGTATATTGTTATAATTTTCTCATTTGAGTCTGGGGCTCTGGTCGAAAGGGGAAGAAACAGGGGTGCTGGGAGCTGCCCCCCTGCTCCCTCCCTTGGAGGCACGGGGGGGGCGCCTTGGTGAATGGCTTTCTTGCTGGCCACTTGCGGAGTGAGTAGACCCGGAGTATCTGGGAGAGGGGCCGGCCCCCACCCCTGAGTCCCTGGGGCCAGGCCGGGGCGCAAATGTCTTGCTCACACTGCCTCCTTCCCGTGGCTCCCTGGGGGTTTGGATTCAGGATTTATTCCTAGTGCCCTAGACTTTGACAAAAAACTTACAGAAGCTGATGCTTACCTTCAAATCTTGATTGAACAATTAAAACTTTTTGATGACAAGCTTCAAAACTGCAAAGAAGATGAACAAAGAAAGAAAATTGAAATGCTCAAAGAGACAACGAACAGCATGGTAGAATCAATTAAACACTGAGTTGTGTTGCTGCAGATTGCTAAAAGTACTATTAATCCTGTAGATGCAATATATCAACCTAGTCCTTTGGAACCTGTGGTCAGCACAATGCCTTCCCAGACTGTATTATCTCCAGAACCTGTTCAGTTGTGTAAGTCAGAGCAATGTCCATCTTCCCTACCAGTTGGACCTATGTTGGCTACCTTGGTACATCATCAGACTCCTACACCAAATAGTACAGGCAGTGGCCATTCACCACCAAGTAGCAGTCTAACTTCTCCAAGCCATGTGAACTTGTCTCCAAATACAGTCCCAGAGTTCTCTTACTCTAGCAGTGAAGATGAATTTTATGATGCCAACAAATTCCATCAAAGTGGCTCATCCCCAAAGCGCTTAATAGATTCTTCTGGATCTGCCTCAGTCCTGACACACAGCAGCTCAGGAAATAGTCTAAAACACCCAGATACCACAGAATCACTTAATTCTTCCATGTCCAATGGAACAACCTTTTCGATTCACATGACGATAGAGATGATGATGCGGAGGCAGGGTCCGTGGAGGAGCACAAGAGCGTTATTAGGTATCTCTTATCACAGGTTAGGCTTGGGATAGATCTTACTAAGGTAGTTCTTCCAACATTTCTTCTTGAAAGAAGATCTCTTTTAGAAATGTATGCAGACTTTTTTGCACATTCGGACCGGTTTGTGAGCATTAGTGACCACAAGTATCCCAAGGATCGAATGGTTCAGGTTGTGAAATGGTACCTCTCAGCCTTTCATGCAGGAAGGAAAGGATCAGTTGCCAAAAAGCCATACAATCCCATTTTGGGCGAGATCTTTCAGTGTCATTGGATATTACCAAATGATACAGAAGAGAACACAGAACTAGTTTCAGAAGGACCAGTTCCCTGGGTTTCCAAAAACAGTGTAACATTCGTGGCTGAGCAGGTTTCCCATCATCCACCCATTTCAGCCTTTTATGCTGAGTGTTTTAACAAGAAGATACAATTCAATGCTCATATCTGAACCAAATCAAAATTCCTTGGGATGTCAATTGGGGTGCACAACATAGGGCAGGGCTGTGTCTCATGTCTTGACTATGATGAACATTACATTCTCACATTCCCCAATGGCTATGGAAGGTCTATCCTCACAGTGCCCTGGGTGGAATTAGGAGGAGAATGCAATATTAATTGTTCCAAAACAGGCTATAGTGTAAATATCTTCCACACTAAACCCTTCTATGGGGGCAAGAAGCACAGAATTACTGCTGAGATTTTTTCTCCAAATGACAATAAGTCTTTTTGCTCAATTGAAGGGGAATGGAGTGGTGTGATGTAGGCAAAATATGCAACAGGGGAAAATACAGTCTTTGTAGATACCAAGAAGTTGCCTATAATCAAGAAGAAAGTGAGGAAGTTGGAAGATCAGAACGAGTATGAATCCCGCAGCCTTTGGAAGGATGTCACTTTCAACTTAAAAATCAGAGACATTGATGCAGCAACTGAAGCAAAGCACAGGCTTGAAGAAAGACAAAGAGCAGAAGCCCGAGAAAGGAAGGAAAAGGAAATTCAGTGGGAGACAAGGTTATTTCATGAAGATGGAGAATGTTGGGTTTATGATGAACCATTACTGAAACGTCTTGGTGCTGCCATGCATTAGGTTGGAAGATGCGAAGTTTATACCTGATGATCAGGGAAGGAGGCATAATTCAGCAAGAAATAATCTTCCTTTGGGAGAAACCTGTTTACTCCCTTCTTATTACAGTGGTTCCTATCTCAGGGATACTGGACTTTCTGACACAGATGAACAATTAAAGTGGGAAAAGGTTCTCTTTTCCCTCTGTGGCAGTTATGATTTTGACTTCGGTCCTGAGAAAAACTTCAGGTTTTGAAAACAAGGTGATGTCTGCTCCTTTTCCAAACCTCACATGTTTAAAAGCATTTATAAATCCATGTCTGAAACGCCACACTCTAGTACTGCTGTTAAGATAGTTCTTAGTTCATATAATCTTGGGATACATGCACACACATCTGTATACACACCACATACAAGCACACATATGTACACACACACACACACACACATATTAAAATATACCTGATGCCAGATTTTTTAAATACTCTGCCTGCTGTAAATATGGGTTCCTCTGAGTTGTTTTAGAAAATTAGCACAATGTATTAAAATCAAGTGTTAGGAAATTTCATGATCTTACCTACAATAACTTTTATTTTTGAACTGAACTATTATTAAATTGTATCTAATCCTGAATTACAGTTTAATTATTCTTAGTGCTTAAGGCTTCATAAAGTATTTTTTTTCCAACAACAAAGAAAATAATAATTTTCTTATTTATCTTTATTTATTATTATTAGTTTTTAGAGACAGGGCCTCACTCTGTTGAGTCTCACATACAGCCCAGGCTGGACAGCAGTGGCATAATTATAGCTCACTGTAGCCTCCACCTCCTGGGTTTAAGGTATTCTCCTGCCTCAGCCTCTCAAGTAGCTGAGACTATAGGCATATACCACTATGTCTAGCTAACTCTTTGTAGAAACAGAGTCTCACCATGTTGCCCAGGCTGGTCTTAAACTCCTGGCCTCAAGCGATCCTCCCATCTTGGCCTCCCAGAGTGCTGGGATGACAGTGTGAGCCAGCCCACTTGGCTGTAATTTTCTTATATGCAGAGTAATAGAATATTTGAAATAGACTGTACTAAGTCAAAGATGTTGACTGTAAGTCCCAGAGTAATCACTGAAAAAGCATAATAAAGAGGTATGACTCATAAGCCAACAATGGAGATAAAATAGAATGGCAAACAAAATCATTCAAAAGATGGCAGAAGAAAAGGGAAAAAGGAACAAAGAACAGTGAGACAAGTAGAAGACAAAAAGCAAGATGACAGTTTTAAATACATCCAGATTGATAATATTAAATGTAAGGGATATAAATATTCAGTTTAATAGGCAGATTTTGGTAGTGGCTCACGCCTGGAATCCCAGCTCTTTGGGAGGCTGAGGAGGGCAGATTGCTTGGGCTTGGGAGTTCGAGACCAGCCTGGGCAACATGGTGAAAACCTCTCTCTACAAAAAATATGAAAATTAGCCAGAAGTAGTGGTATGTGCCTGGAGTCCCAGCTGTTTGTGAGGCTGAGATGGGAGGATCACTTGAGCCTGAGAGGTCGAGGCTGCAGTGAGCGGTGATGGTGCCACTCACTCCAGCCTGGGCGACAGAGTGAGACCCTGTCTCAAAAAGGAAAAAAAAAAGAGAGAGAGAGAGATACTGTGTAATGAATAACAAAGCAAGAACCAACTATCACAAAGAAACTCACTTTAAATATAAAGATACAGACAGGCTGGGTGCCGCGGCTCATATCTATAATCCCAGTGCTTTGTGATGCCCAGGTGCAAGGTTTGCTTGAGGCCGAAGTTCAAGACCAGCCTGGGTGACAGAGTGAGATTCTGTCTCTACAAAACATTTTTTTCTTGTCTGTCACCCAGGCTGGATTGCAGCAGTGTGATCTTGGCTTACTGCAACCTTGGCCTCCTGGGTTCAAGTGATTCTCTCTCAGCCTCCCAAGTAGCTGAGACTTCACACCCGGTTAATTTTTTTTTTTTTTTTGTATTTTTAGTAGAGATGGTGTTTTGCCATGTTGACCAGGCTGGTCTGGAACTCCTGACCTCAAATGATCTGCCCACCTTGGCCTCTCAACATTCTGGGTCTACAGGTGTGAGCCACCACATCCAGCCTCTACAAATTAAAAAAAAAATTAGCTGGGGGTGATGGTATGTACCTATAGTCTTAGCTACTTTGGAGGCTGAGGCAGGAGGATGGCTTGGGTCCAGGAGTCTGAGGCTACAGTGAGCTGTGATTGCACAACTGCACTGCAGCTTGCGTAACAGAGCGAGACCCAGTCTCAAAAATAAAAAAGACATAGATTAAAAGTAAAAGGATAGAAAAAGACATTTTGTGCAAACACTAATTAAAAGAAAGATGATGTGGCTCTAAGTACCAGACAATATATACTTTGGAACGGGGATAGCGAGGGACATTTCATAATGACAAAGGAATCAGTTCATTAAAAGACATAATACCAAATACATATGCACTTAATGACAAAGCTTCAAAATACATGAAGGAAAAACTGATGAAACTAAAAAGAGGAATATACCAATTATAATTATATTTGGAGATTTTAACACTCCTCTCTCAGTTATTGTAGACAAAGAAAAAATACCTACATAGAACACTTGAACAACCTGAGCGGCCAGCTGCACCAAAGGAATATTTATAGAACCCTGCACCCAAGGACTAGAGAACATACATTCTTTTCAAGTGCACTGAAATGTTCTCAAAGACACACAGTCTGCTATAAAACAATACTCAATACATTTAAAAAGACTCAACTCATATAAAGTATGTTCTCTGACAAAAATGGATGGAAGTAGAAGTAACAGAAGATATCTTGAAAAATTCCAAAATATTTAGAAACACATGCCTAAAGAAAGGGAAAAAAATCACAAGACATCTTAGAAAATATATTGAATTAAATGAAAATGAAAACAACAAGCTGAAATTAGCAGATGCAGGCAAAGCAATGCTTTGAGGATAATTTATAGCATTAAATGCTTATACAGTAGCTCTCCCTTATTTGGGGGGCTGTGTTCCAGGACCCCCAGTGGATGCCTAAAACTGTCAGTAGTTCTGAACCCTATATATACCGTATTTCTTCCTATATATACATATCTGTGATAAAGTTTAATTTATAAATTAGGCACAGTAAGAGATGAACAACAACTGATAGTAAAATAGAACAGTTATAACAGTTGGTACACATTTTCTGTTTATGTCTTCCACCCACAAACTTAATAACTTTTTTTATCTTAACTAAGCCCTTTACTACACTGTAGCTGTTACTTTTGCAGTTCGAGGTGCAACAGCAAAACTCACAAATTTATCTTTCCTTCTTCACAAGTTCACATATAGAAGATTCACTCTTACCTTAGCTCTTAGCAACCTCAATATATGATTTTTTTTTCCTTTGGTTGAGAAACTTTACCTTTTCACTTAAAGGAAACACTTTGTGGCTTCTCTTTGTTGTATCTGAATTGCTAGCATCACTATTTTTATACTTTGGGGCCATTATAAAGTAAAATAAGGGTTACTTGAACAGAAGCACTGCAGTACCTCGTCCGTCAGTCTCATAACCGAGACAGCTACGAAGTGACTCACTGGTGGGTAGCATGGACAGTGGGGATACGCTGGACAAAGGGATGACTCACATCTCTAGTTTGAGAGAGTGAGATGGTGCTAGAGTTCATCACACTACTCAATTTAAAACTTATGAATTATTTATTTCTGAAATTTTTCATTTAGTATTTTTGGACTGTGGTTGACCTCAGGTAGCTGAAACTGTAAAAAGGGGAGGCTGCAGATAAGGGGAGACTATTAATAAAGAAGAAATGTCTAGGCCAGGCACGGTGGTTTGTGCTGTAATGCCAGTACTTTGGGAGGCCGAGGCAGGCAGATCCTTGAGGCCAGGAGTTCCAGACCAGCCTGGCCAACATGGCAAAATCCTGTCTCTACTAAAATACAAGAAAATAGCTGAGTGTGGTGGCACGTGACTATAATTTCATCTACTTGGGTGACTGAGGCATGAGAATTGCTTGAACCTGGGAGGTGAAGCTTGCAGTGAGCCGAAATGGTGCCACTTCACTCCAGCCTGGGTAACAGAGCAGGACTTTATTTCCAGAAAAAAAAAAGAAGAAGAAGAAGAAAGGTCTAAAGTTTGTGATTGACACTTCTACCTTAAGTAGCAAAACTAAATCGAGAGGAAGAAACAGAAAAAAAAATTAGTGGGCAAACATTCCAAATCAGTGACTCCAAAGCTGGTTGTTTGCAAAGGTCAATAAAATAGATAATCCTCTACCTGGATGATTGGGAACATGAGGGAGGACACAAATGACCAGTACTGGGATGCAGGTGAAGCATGAATACAGATCCTACAGACACTCGGAGAGTCATGAGATGATGTCATATACAGCTGTGTGCCGATATATTGAACAACTTAGATGAATTGGACAAATCACTTGAGAGACACAAACTGTCAATGTTGAATAGCTCATATCTATTGTAGAAATTGAATTTTGGTTTAAAATATTCCACAAAGGAAACTCCAGCCTCAGATGTCTTCAGTGCTGAATTTCATCAGACATTTAAAATTATGAAGTGCCAAATCCACATAAACTTTACCAGAAAGTAGAAGGGGAGGGAACATTTCCCAGCTTATTTTATGAATTCATTACTGCCCTGATATCAAAACCAGACAAAGACATTACAATTAAAGAAAAAAAAAAACTACAGATGACTATTCCTCATGAGCATGTAAGCAAAAACCTTTAACAGAATATTAGCAAATAAAACCTGGAAAGATATAAAAAGAATCATGTATAATGACCAAGTAGGGATTTGCAGTGGAATACAGGGTGGTTTTAACATCTAAAAATCAGTGCAATTTAACATTAGCCAACTAAAAAGGAAAACCCATAAGATCATCCCAATTTTGTCAAATGCACAAAAAAAGCATTTGACAAAATTCAACATTCATTCAGATAATAAATCTTAGCAAAGTAGGAAAAGAAGATAATTTCTTCAACTTAAGAAAGAGCATCTTTGCAAAACCTACGTCATATTTTATAGTGAAAGTCTGAATGTTCTCTTTTTAAGGAAGGTTGGCTTTATGAGCATATGACTTCTGCAGTCCAGAAATTCTTAACAATTTTATTTTATTTATGTATTTTTTTGAGATGGAGTTTGGCTCTTGTTGCCCAGGCTGGAGGGCAATGGCGTGATCTCAGGTCACCGCAACCTCTGCCTCCCCGGGTTCAAGCAATTCTCCTGCCTCAGCCTCCCAAGTAGATGGAATTACAGGCATGCGCTATCACACCTGGCTAATTTTGTAATTTCAGTTGAAATGGCGTTTCACCATGGTGGCCAGGCTGGTCTCAAACTCCTGGCCTCAAGTGACCCACTTGCCTCAGCCTCCCAAAGTGTTGGGATTGCAGGTGTGAGCCACTGTGCCTGGCCAACAATTTTATTTTTGAACTTATGTTTTGCAACTGAAGTCTGCTGAGACAATGGAATGTGCATGTGTGCTAAAGAAATACACACAGTGTGAGTGTGTGCCATTCGTTGCTGTCCCATTTGCATATTGTGCAATACCCCAGCAGCATGGAGTTCTGATGAATTCACGATGTCTAGGAGTTCAGC